CTCCCGCGGCCCTGGCGGCGCGGCACAGTCGCCCTGCGCCTCGCGGGGCGTTCCGCGCCGCCGCCGCCGCCGCCGCCACCGTCGCCGCCTTCTTGGCAGGACCGAAGCAAAACCGGCACCACGGCTTCCCCTCCGCCCCAAGATAATGACCACCAAAGCCGCCGCCGCCACCGCCGTCGCCGCCTTCTTGGCAGGAGCGAGGCAAAACCGGCACCACGGCTTCCCTTCCGCCACAAGAGGACCACCAAGGCCGCCGCCGCCACCGCCGTCGCCACCCTTTTGGTAGGAGCGAGGCAAAACAAGCACCACGGCTTCCCCTCCGCCACAACAGGACCACCAAGGCCGCCGCCGCCACCGCCGTCGCCGCCCTCTTGGTAGGAGCGAAACAAAACTGGCACCACGGCTTCCCCTTTGCCCAAAGAGGACCACCAAAACCGCCGCCGCAACCGCCGTCGCCGCCCTGTTGGCAGGAGCGAAGATCGGCGGCACCACGGCCTCCCCTCCGCCCCATGAGGACCACCAAGGCCGCCGCCGCCACCGCCATCGCCGCGCTCTTGGCAGGGGCGAGACAGAACCAGCACCACGGCCCCACCTCCGCCCCAACGAGGACCACCAAGGCCGCCGTCGCCGCCCTCTTAGCAGGAGCGACGCAAAACAGGCACCACGGCTTCCCCTCCGCACCGAAATGACCACCAAAATCGCCGCCGCCACCGCGGCCGCCGCCATCTTGGCAGGAGCGAGGCAAAACCGGCACCACGGCTTCCCCTCCGCCCTAAGAGGACCACCGAAACCGCTGCCGCCACCGCCGTCGCCGCCTTCTTGGCAGGAGCGACGCAAAACAGGCACCACGGCTTCCCCTCTGCCCCAAAGAGGACTACCAAGGCCGCCGCCGCCACCGCCGTCGCCGCCCTCTTGGCAAGAGCGAAGCAAAACCGGCACCACAGCTTCCCCTCTGCCCCAAAAGGACCAAGACCGCCGCCGCCATCGCCGTCGCCGCCTTCTTGGCAGAAACGAAACAAAACCGGCACCACGTTTTCCCCTCCGCCCCACGAGGACCACCAAAGCCGACGCCACAGCCGTCGCCGCCTTCTTGGCAGGAGCGAAGCAGAACCGGCACCACGGCTTCCCCTCTGCCCCAAGAGGACCGCCAAGACTGCCGCCGCCATCGCGGTCGCCGCCCTCTTGGCGGGAACGAGGCAAAAGCGGCACCACGGCTCCCCCTCAGCTCCAACAGCCACCAAGACCGCCAGCAAGCGCCGAAACGGGCCTACGGCGCGTTTCGCATGGACCGCGACATGGGCTCCCGTGTTCAGGCCCAAGAGATCAGAATGGGTTCCACGATCGTCGCGAACTATCGTGGGAAAGGGAGGAGGAGGAGGAAGAGGAGGAGAAGGAGGAAAAGGAGGAGAAGGAGGAGGAGCAGCAGGAACAAGAGGAAGAGGATTCGATTCGATTCAGACACCTTCAGCGCGAACCTGATATATTTCATTGTTAGTTCTTCTGTATTCGAAATTGTTTCAACATCGCGCAACCGTGCGCCCTAATATTTGACACAACTACGGATGGCATGTGACGCCTCTAATTGCATGTGCCATGCTCGTCGCATCAGGGCCGCAGCTAAGGTTTCGAGGAAGACAAGCCTGGCCCACGCAACCACCGACGCATGAGGTAGCCGCGGTAGACCGAGAAAGCGGAGCAGTAGTTTGAGATTTAGCCATTCGCCAAATATGCTAGCTTTCTTCAAACGTGTCTCCAATTTCAGAGTCCTTTGGAAGACCCCGCACCAGGCTCAATACTATGTGATGGTGTGGGCCTCTGAGGGTCAAGTAACACAATGCGGGCCACTCGCGCGCGTCGGCCACGCGCGGATGCCGAAATCCTTCCCGAACCTTCATCGCCGACGCGATGACATAGTCATCGCCATCGGCGTCAGCGTCGGCGCCGACATTGGCTTTGCCGATGTCTTCGTCACCATCGTGATCACCATCGCTACTGTGATCATCGTTTACACTTTGTCAACGTCGCCATGATATCGTGCCCGCCCAAGCCACCGACTCGCACTGAAGTGCCCGGTGGGAAGTGCCCAGCGGTCAGCGCCACCGCGGCAAGGTCGGCCGCGACAAACTCGCTGGCCGCTTTGCGGGCGACGATGCGCGGGCTAGCGCGGCCGCGGAGGTGCACCAGGCAGATGCCCGAGCACTCATCGTCATCGCCGCCGCATGGGTCGTGCAATCCAGTTTGCGGGTGGGTGGGCGGGGTTGCTGCGCGAGCAGTAAAAGCTGAAAACTTCAGGTTTTCCAACACTCGTTGCAACCCATAGGTTGCTCCACAACTGCTGCACCACATCGACTGCTACAAGTACACCGACTGGGGCCCACGCTGGCTGACCTCCCTGTTCCCGCGGCGCGACGGACGAGCACGAGGAGGGGACGGGCGGACACGGAAGCGCAGCCGCAGGACCCAGAGGTGCCCGCACACGACGGCGGCGCGCCGGTGCTGCAGCCCCTTTCACGTGAGGAGTGTCCCGAAGTTTAGCTTTTCTGAAGTATGTGCCAGTAGGCAAGATGTGGAAAGAACTCGTCTTCGAAGTGCCCCCCGAGAACTGAATATGTTGCGATCTCCCTCCTGTTCGTGATGTGAACGTTGTGGTCATCATGCCTCAGACTTTAAGATTTCGTCTGTCCTCTTCCTCTTTGGACGGCGCTGTTGACGGCCCCGTTCCCAGCGGCCGTCTGCTGCGCGCCAGGGCGCAGATTTCTGAGCCCACCGATTCGAAGGCATAGCTGCGACTCCCTCGAGCCCTCTGCGTAACGCCAGACCTTGACTCCCCACGCAAAGCACCAGCTGTCAGTATGACGTCTCGCCCAAATATGGTTTCCCACGATACTTGTTGCATGATGCATCCAATCAGCTCAACTCTCTTCGATATCATGATGCGTCTCCCCGACTGCGTCGTTGCCGGCAGCCGTGGACGCTGATGGAGCAGATGTACCATCGTTGTCTGACTGCTCCGATGCCAAACAGCCTGCGGAGCACAAGGAGGGAGGAAGAGAAGCATCCCCCCTCCTCTAGAGGCCTCCCAGATGGGGTCCGAGTAAGTGGGGTCGGAGGAATGCACCGCATCGCCGATGTATCGCCGATTCATCGCCGATGCACCAGCGATGCACCTGCGATGCATCGTCGACGCCGACGACATCGACGTGGGGCAAAACGGGCTCCACATCCAGCCGCGTCGCCGATGCATCGGCGATGCGGCGCGATCCTCCGACCCCATCTGCTCGGACCCCATCTTAGGAGGCCCAGATCCTCCCCTCCCCCCCCCGCCGGGGGACGGTCCTCTGGCACGGCGAGCCAGGCCGAGGTGCCGCGGCTGTCGGGCTTCGCCTCCGCGGCGTCCTTTACTGGCGGGGGGAGCTCACAGAGGGTGGCATTTGCTGCGTTTGGGAGCGCCTGCAGGGAGAGTGGTCGTCGTGGTCGTCATCTCGGCTGTCTTCGTCGTCGTCCTCGTTATACTCCTCCACCTCCTCCCTCATCCTCCTCCTCCTTCTCCTCCGCCATCCTCCCTTTGGGACCCTGGGACTCTGGAACAGCTCTGCCCCGTGCAGGCACAGTAGGCTGAGGGATAGCATCGCCCATTGTGGGCAGAGTGGCTCCCCGACCCTCTCCCAGCCCACAAGATGCTTGCCGCCCCCCATCGACATCCCGCCATCCTGCCCTCCTAGGCGGCCTTGCTGCGCGAGGTGCGCAGCGGCTCAAGCTTTGAGGTTAGGCGGGGGAGGAGGGAAGTGTTGTACGGAGTGGGGTGGGCGACGGGGCGCTACGAGAGCCGATGCCGCTCCACGCGGCGCCGCGGGGAGCGCGCCTTCCGAAGGCGACGGCGGTGGGGCCGCGGCCCCTCGAAGGAGGCAGCCCTGGGAGCGAACGAGGCCGCCCCGGGGAATGCCGGGCGCGACCGTCGTGATGACCGGCGTCAGCTGCCGTGCTTGCCGGGACTGTATGGGACAGCGAGGCGAGGCGAAGGGGAAGCGAAGGCCGGCGTCGTGCCCGCTCCTGGCGTGGAGGGCGTGGCCTCCAGCACGCGATACGCCCGGGCGCACGCAGGAGGCACGTGCACAGAACAGGCGCCGATGCCGCCGCAAAAAAGGCGCCCCAAGGAAGGGAAGGGCGCTGGCGCCGGAGCGCCCGCCGGGCACAGACGGCGAACCGCCTCTCGACGATCTCGTCCACGCTCTCCCCCCAACGTCCCGATAAATTTTGCGCGCGGCTTGTCCGAAATGTGAAGGGTGAGGGAGAAGAGACGAGGGTGCCTCGTCTGGGCCGATGGCCTTGGAAGACCTCACCACCTGCCGCGCGCCCTCAGCCAGGGTGGATGGCACGGCGGGGCAAAGTGGGCTGCCTGGCGGCCCTGCCGACCTCAGCAAGAGATCCAAGGAAACGGCACGAACGGGGGCATGCTCCGACTCCTCGCCGCCCATACCCTGTGAACCTTCGCTTCTCCCCCACCTCCGAGGCTCCTGCCACCCCCCTCCTCCTTCGCCTCCGTGGTCGGCAGAGGCGTCGGCAGCACTTGGAATGAACGACTTGGTGGTTAGTGCGATGGTGGATACTGCTGGATGCCTGCGCGGTCAGAACCTTCCCAAGCTGGCCGAACCACCATTTCGTAATCTACATGGTGGTTTGCTGGTTACGCAGGCGGTCCGGGAAGGACCCCCGCCCCCAGCCACCATGCCAGGAATTCGGCTTCCTGTACGCCATAGCGCGGGAAGCGAAAGAATTATCGTCAAAAGGGGGACGACCACAACGAGAAGATTCTTAACAAATTTATCCGGCAGTCTGGCAAACAAGATCGTTCAGCTTGGCTGCAAGATTTTGCGGGTGGCAGCAGCTGGAAAGCTGTGAAGTATCTACGCAAACCCGAAGCAACCAAGCACGCAGACATCAAGAAGCCAGATGGCACTTTGTCAGACACGGCGGAAAGATCAAACATCATGGCTGACTATTTTGAGGCAATTCAGTGGCAAAGCCGATGCCCCAATCTCCAGCCAGACCGGGATATTCCGCTCGGGGGGGTCTTGCCCATCAGCACAGACAGTTTGTGCATGGAGGAGTTGCTGCAGGTCTTGAAGAAATTGAAGTATGGGAAGGCTGCAGGTCCAGATGACATGTCATCAGACTTTTGGAGATTCTCATGTACGATACAGACGGAAGTGGTATATTATTACGGCTGTGTCAACAATGCTGGACCAGGAAGTCGATGATAATAGCGTCGCTGATTCATCAACGATTGATTCGTAGAGGCTCAGAGAAGCGCATGCGTAACTCACAATATGGTTTTCGTCCTGGACGTAGCACTGGGGACGCTCTCATGCTCGTGAGGCGTATGATTGATATTGCACACAATCGTAACGATGATGGGATAGTGATATTGATGTTGGATTGGGCCGAAGCGTTTGACAGATCAAATCCCGCTTCCATGTGCAAAACTTTGCACAGATCCGGGCTCCCTCCAGAAATGGTGGAAATGGTGCGTTCCATATATGCGACCGCTTCTTTGTAATTTCTGATCACCCTGGTACTTCAACTGGAAGACGACAGAGCGCTGGGATTGTGCAAGGGTGTCCGCTCTCCCCGTACCTCTTCATCGCGGTCCAGACTCGACACATTACATCTTGAACAAGAGCCCGGGTATGTGGTTATACAGGGGCGCGTTATATGCAGACGACATATTACTTGTCTCTCAGCACCAGGCGAACCTCCAAAATATGTTGAACGCACTCGTGAAAGAAGGGAGCAGACAAGGCTTGGATTTGAACTGGGACAAAACAGTGCAGATGCAGGTGTCCACTGACAAGAAGATCATAAGACCAGATGGGACCGATATCAAGACAGTCCAGGACGCTGTATATCTGGGAGGCCTGGTGTCTTGCGATGGGAGGGCTGCAACCGAATTGTCCAGAAGGCTGGGAGAGACGAGCTGGACATTCAAGCAATTGGACACAATATGGACAAATCTTCTCTTGGGTGGAAGCGGAAATACAAGGTCTACGACAGCGTCTTTTCGAGCAAGCTGCATTATTCATTGGACTCTCCTTGGCTGCTTAAAGCTGATCGTGCTCGTCTGGACGCTTTTCATTGTAGGTGTGTGCGCCGAGTGTTGGGCATCCCGTTATCGTACATATCTACAGTGCGCAACGACATTGTCTTAGAGAAAGCTTCAACGAAACCGTTGTCGCAAACATTGACCTGCAGACAAAAACAATTGTACAATAAAATCGCCAAATACGATGCTAATTCGTTTGTGAAGCTTGAGCTTTTCAACGCAGACGGGTCGCCTAGAACGTGGGTCGTCCGCCGCAAGAGAGGACGTCCGCGCCAGCAATGGGCATCCGAAGTGCGTCAGCTTTAACCCATCGCGCTCCCTCCCCTCCCCTTCCTTTTTTTTTTTCTCCTCCTCCTCCTCCTCATGCCCTTCTTAGCCGGCAAGGTTTCTCATATTGAGCACCTGCACACCAGAGGATTTGTTAACCGCATTTTCCCGCGTGTGCTCGCTGCCTTCATTCATTGTCCGACATGCTCAGCGCACGGTCTGCCCTCAAAGGGACCGCTCCGGGTACCGGAGCTGGCACGCAGACTCCCGTTCCATTCTATTCCATTCCATTGACGAACGTGCCAACGTGCACAACTCGTCTTGCCTATGCGTCCGCCAAGGTGCACGGCTTGTGACTGACAAGCCCCCCGTTTCCGCGCTCTCCAGCTGTGTCTCAGCCATGCCCGAGATTTGCCGCATCGTGATCCGTTATGGCCCCCTCAATCACGCTCAATCCGTGGCCGGCAGAGGCGTCGGCAGTGCGGGCACCCCCCATTGCCGCGCTCTCCTGCTGTGTCTCGCCCATGCCCGCGATTTGCCGCACCACCGACTGCGCGCGCTCGCGCGCTCGCGCACGCCACGACCACGACCACGACCACGACCACGACCACGACCACGACGACGACGACGACGACGACGACGGATGCTCCATATCCGGCAGGCGAGACCCCAGCATCCGCGCGTCATGGCAGGCATCGTTACCACGTCTTTGGCCCCCTAGGGAGCCTCTGGATCGATATGGCGCAAGAGATCCCGCGTACGAATGAGGCTGAAGTCGAACTAACTGGTCGTGTAGCTCATGTGGACTGTTCGCGACATGGGCGGATGCAGCGAGGGGATACAAGACGCGCGACGACACCAAGGGACTCATGCTGTGATTGCGCTGGTGTGCCAGACTGGCTCTGGCACATTCCGCCCAACGGCTTCTGCAGCCGTCGGATATGTCACAGAGAAACATCACAAGACTCTTGGGCGTCCAGGTTGCAAGCCGCCGCAAGGGGATCCCCAGGACCTCGCAAGCAAAACAAGCCAAGAGTGGGCCGAGAAGGCAAGGATGCAAGTCAGTGATGCTATACGTCTGAGCGCGTGGGCGACAGACATGCAACGCCAGCCTGTTCTTTCCGCGTGGCGGGAGCGGCTGCGCGTCGGCGGTCTCTCGCTCAGCCTTCGTTTACAACGTGCTCGGCCGGGGGAAGGTGGGAAGGGAAGGGGGAGGGGGAGGAAGAGGGGTGAGAGACACCAAGGATGCAGAGGCACCCCAACGGAACCACCTCATCCTTCTTGCGGGCCGACGCTACAGACTCGGGCCTCGACCGTCACGGAGCGCGCGTGCTTGCAATATGCGCGCGCGAAGGCGGGCACGGGACGAAGGGTGGCAGGAAGGCTGGAGGCCCCGTTCCGCGGGGAGCGCGGGGGAGCACCCACCGTGATGCTCCCAGAGGGAGGGTAATGGCGAACGGAAGACTTGCCGTCGCTCGGACGTCCATTGCCCGTGCATGTTTCGGTTTCGTGCGTGTTTGTTTTGCTCGATGGTCCAGGATGGTCCTCGATGGTTCTCGCCGAGACAAATTGCACACGTCCGAGCGATGCTTAGAGGAGGGCGGAGCAGGGAGGAGGAGGGAGGACAGAGCAGCTGCAGGCAGAAACAAGAGCAGCAGGACCGGGGGGAGGAGTACGCGCAGCTCAAGCTAGTAAAACAGCACCCGACAGCTATGACAAAAACGTGGTGTCTGAACGCCAACGGCGGCACTTCTCCCCTTCCTCATCCTCCTCATTCTCCTCATCATCACAATCTTCATGCATCTTCCTCGCCAGAATCGCTACCACCGACACCATCACCATGTCAATCGCTCGTGGCACCCGCAATCGTCATGATCTCCATCGTCACCAGTCCTCCTAACCACTGTCATCATCATCAGCATCAGCATCAGCATCATCACCATCATCATCCTCATCATCATCATCATCATCATCAGCATCATCATCATCATCCTAATGATACTCAGCGTAAGCATCGTCATCGGAGTCGTCGTCATCATCAGCAATACCATCAACATCACCATCATCGAGATCATCATCAGCAGCATCACCACCATCATCACCACCACCATCACCATCATCGCCATCATCATCATCATCATCAGCATCATCACCATAATAATCATCATCAGCATCATCATCGTCATGCTCGGCATCGTCGTCATCATCATCATGCTCGTAATATGCATCATCGTAATCATCAGAATTATCATCGTCATCAGCAGCAACAGCGTCAGCATCAGCATCAGCATCAGCATCATCAATATCGTCATCATCATCATCATCATCATCATCATCATCATCATCATCGTCATCATCGTCATCATCGGACTCGGACTCGGTCTCAGCTCCGCGCGCGTGGCGCCATGAAGGCGCGGCGGAGGGGGCGCCGAGGCGACTGCATGGAAGGAATTGGCAAAACAGCATTCACATGTGAAGACTATACACGAAAGGCTGTGAACAGCCAGAGTGCCAGGCACATTACCTATGTCCGAGCCCGAACATGCAACAGGAACAAATGCATGAAGTTTCGGCGTGCCGGCCAATTTGACATCGATACTCTGTCACTCCTTGTGGGATAACCGATCTGATCCCCATCTGCCAGGAGGGAACAACATTGCCTGGACACGACCAGCGTCCGGACCGTTCTGCTGCACGGGCAACAACGACCATCGTCAACATCGTCATCATCATCATCATCATCATCATCATCATCATCACCATCACCATCATCATCATCAGCATCATCAGAATAATAAGCAGCATCATCATAATCATTAGCATCATCAAGATAACCAGCATCATCATTATCATCGGCATCATCATCACATTCACAATCACAACCATCATACTCATCAACATCAACAATATAACCGTCATCATCATAATCATCACTATCCCCATCACAATCACAATCAGCAGCATCAGCATCAGCATCAGCATCAGCAGCAGCATCAGCATCATCAACAGCAACATCAACATCATCATCATCATAAGCATGATCGACAGCATCATAATCACCGCCATCATAGTCATACTCTGAAGCATCATTCTCGTCATCATCATCATCATCATCATCATCATCATCATCATCATCATCCTCAACATCATCGCCATCGGCATCATCTTTATGTAATCACCTTCAGCTTCGCCATCGTCAGCCGCATCATCGACATCAGCAGCATCATCATCAACATCACCATCATCAGCCGCAACATCATCACTAGTAGCAACATCTCCATACATATGATCGAATTCACTACCGCCGTCATCGTCAGCCGCATCATCGACGTCAACAGCAACATCATCATCGTCATCATCATCACCATCACCAGCACCAATATCCACATCAGCATCTCCAGAGTCACCATCACCCTCATCACCACCATCATTATCATCCGCATCATCATCCTCATGATTACAAACATCACCGTCATCACAACCACCACAATCATATTCATCATCTGCATCATCTGCATCATCATCATCATCATCATCATCATCATCATCATCATCATCATCATCATCATACGTATCATCATCAGCATCACCATCTGCATCCACTCTCTTCCCCTCCGCCTCGTCCTCCTCGTCGTCCACCTCCTCCTCCTCCTCCTCCTCCTCCTCCTCCTCCTCCCCCTCTTCCGCCTACTCTTCCTCCTCCTCCTCCTCCTCCGCCTCCTCCTCCTTCTCGTCCTCACACTCCTTGCCCCCTCCATCCATCCTCCCCCCGCACTCGTGCTCTCCTCCTGGCGCGGCAACTCCGCAGAGGAACGCGCACGCTCCTCCTCCATCCTCCTTTTCCCATCCTCGTCTTCCTCATCCACTTCCTCATCCTGTTGATGCCCCACCCTCCACCTCTTCTTCCTCCTCCATCCTCCTTTTCCATCCTCTTCCTCCACCTCCTGTTGGTGCCCCACCCCCCTGGCACACCTCGAGACCGTGGACGCGCTCCGCGAAGTCCTGGCCCTCGAGCGCCTTCAAGCGCACGCCGAGCTCCTGGAGCCGCGCGCGGGGCGCCACCGCTTGCGACCCGTGGGGGGGAAGGGCGGGGTGGGGAGGGAGGAGCGGCGAGGACAAGGGGGACCACAGTCATCGCGGTTCTGGGAACGCGGAGCGTGGAGCGAAAGGGCTTTTCTGGCCACGCCAGACCTCGGCCACGGCAACTCCCCCAATATGAATCCAAGGAACGGCCGGGAAACCAAAGCGCGCCCTCGACCCACAATGGTCCGTAGTTCTGCGTCTGGACGCATGGGTTTCGGACTATGCCATACCGGGCTCGGGGAAGCACCACCCGCTGGGGTTGCGGGGGGGCCATCGCCTGAGGTGCGTCGTCCATCTGGTTTTTTTTTGTTTTTCAGCACCCAGGCGGGAAGCGCACACACACACACAAACACACACACACACACACACTCTCTTTTCGTTACGGCGCGAAAGAAGCAATCCGCTTTCGCGTCGGGGCGAGACTGGGACCCGGAACCACACACAAACACTGCTTACGTCGCGGCAGGAAAGAGGCAGACTCGCCCCGACGCGCAAGCGGACTGAGTCCGCCTGCGCGTCGGGGCGGATCCGGGACACGGAATCGCGAACCAGCCCGCATGCAGGAGGGGAGGGGCGGCGAGAGGGGCGGCCGCGGAGAAGGACACACACACACACACACAGCAAAACCGAGGCAAAGAGGGAAAGAAGGAGGGAGGGAGCAGGAGAGAACCAGAAGGCGGAGGAGACGGGCGCGCGGCGGGGAGACACGAGCCACCTGACCCCCTTCCTGAGGCGATCGCGCGCGCCGCCGGAGGCACGGAGCGGGGGAGGAAGGGAAAAAAGGCGTGGCGGCGCAGCAGTCGAGCGAGGCCAGGCGCCGCAGACGCCAACAGTGCGACGCTGGCGCGCTACAGCGTTGCCGCCAGGCGCTGGTACTGAACGTCGACGGCAATGGACCTGTGGCGTTCATCGAGACCATGGGCGAGCATCTTGACGACGCTTCGGCAGCCTCCGCCAAGCCGGCTTGATTGAGACATGACCATGGACGTGAACTCAGTGTGTGCCTCCTCTTCCTCCTCCTCCTCCTCCTCCTCCTCCTCCTCCTCCTCCTCCTCCTGCTCGTGATCCTCCTGCTCCTCGTCCTCCTCCTGCTCCTGCTCCTCCTCCTCCTTCTCCTCCTCCTCCTCCTCCTCCTCCTCCCTCCTCCTCCTCCTCCTCCTCCTCCTCCTCCTCCTCCTCCTCCTGCCGCTGCTGCTGCTGCTGCTGCTGCTGCTGCTGCTGCTGCTGCTGCTGCTGATGCACCCCCCAACGGCACGCCTCGAGGCTCTCGGCGCGCTGCTCCGCGAAGGCCCGGCCCTCAAGTGTCTGCACGCGCACGCCGAGCTCCTGGAGCCGCGCGCGCGGGGCCCGGCTCCCCCGCTGGCGACGCCCTGGTGGGAGAAGGACGAAGGGAGAGAGAGGGCGCAGCACCGCCCACGGGCCCACAGCAAGGCCGCGTAATGCAGCCGACAGACGGGAGCACGAGCCGATGCATGACTGCGCCGAGTCAGGACTTAACAGCAGGCCCGGCTTAGGGAAACGACCAGCCCGCATGGCGGCTATAGCATACGCCTGCTTAGATCGGGCGTTAGGGGAGGAACGCCGTCGCTGTTTTCCTCCTTCTCCTCCTCCACAGCGGGCTTGGGAATAGTGGTGGAAGAGGAATGAGCGAGGAGGAACGAGGGATGATGCAGCGCGAATGCGAAGGGAAGAGGGGGATACATCGACAACTTGATAGCCCCCCAGAGCACACATCGGGAAGACTTTGCCCAAGCTCCAGGAAAGCCTTAGACGCAAGTCCCTCCGCATCTGCTTCCCGAGGCCCAAATCCGTCCTGCCTCGGCGGCCGGCGCAAGGACGTTGAAACTCCCCTCTCGAATGTTGCATGATTCATTCGTGCACCCTGGTCAGACCAATCTGGGTAGCAATCTCGGTGAGAGCGTAGAGGAGCACCCGCTCAGTGGCTCGCTTGTGACGTTTGGTTATCGCATCGACGAGATCGTGTGAGGTCCCGGCGGATCCGCTCGTGAGAGCGCGCAGGCCAGTCGGCCACATACCAGGCAGCAGCGTCGAGGTAAAACTTGGAAGCCAGTTCTGGCGAAGGACCCAACAATCTGCAATCTGCATGTTTGGTTTTCGTGGGACTCCCTGCGGATGGTCGGCGTCTTGCACGCCGGCGTAGTGAGCCCGCCCTACAACTAAGTGGTGCCATCGAGCGCACCGCGGCTGCCCCTCATGCCGCGGCAGAAGCTCTCGAGCAGGGCAGGCCGAGCCTTGCCGCCTCGCCGAGCTCCACAGCGCACGGAAGGCAGCCATCTGCTGCGGACCAGGTGCGCAGACTGCGGCAGCTCGCAGTACAGTGCAGAAATGCCCGGGCGTGCGCTCCCCTCGCACCACGCCCGCGCCCCGCCCCGCGCGACAGGGGGCGGAGGAGGAGGAGGAGGATGAAGATCGACCATCGCAGAGACGGGAAGAAGAAACAACCACATAGACATAAACTGTTGGCGCTCCGCGCGGACCGTCGAAAATTTATGCTATGCCCTTTTCTGTTCGTCTTCGAGGGACGGGGGCGAGAGAGAAGCCCCCTGGCGCGCCAGCCGGGGCGCACCCGGCAAACCGCGGGGGGAAGCCCTGGCACACCAGCCTCCCTGGCCCCCCAGAAGCCTTCCCCCCCAAGCCGGGATCCCTCCGTGGCGTCGCCGGAGCGCTGGCGGCTAGTGAATTATGGGTGCCGAGGGCCGCCTCTGGCTCCCCGCTCGGCGCGCGGCGGGCCTCCCACTGAGCGCCGCCGCAGCGCCCTCGTGCAGGTGCATGCAAGGAGAAAGAAAGACAAACTTCTGCGCACAGACCAGACGGCTTGCCTGTGGCGCCCCTCGTGCAGCGATTGCGTATATTGAGAAGGCCTTACGGCCGATGCCGCCGACCCTGTAGGCAGCGACGACGAAGACAATGGAGGTAGAGGAGTCCAAGATGCCCTCAGATGGCTCGAAGACGGCGCCAGATGCCTGCAAGGTCGTCCGAAGACAGCTCAAGAGGCCTCCTCCAGGCTTCGGGAACGGCTCCAATGAGCGCCAAGATAGGCAAGAGCGCCCATAAGTGGCCCGAGAGGGTTCCAAGACGGCGTCAAGCGAGGTCCAAAAGCGCCCGCGGAGGCTATCAAGAGTGCCGCCAGATGCTGTCAAGAGAGTCTAAAAATGGCGAAAGGTCTCCAAGGAGCCTTAAGAGAGGTTGAAAGGGCCCGCAGACGGCCCCGGAGGGCCAACGGAGCCCCAAGACGCAGGAGGATGAGAGGAAGGGGGCTGCGAATCCGAGGGGGGACCCCCCCCGGGAGTTGCCCCGGGACCCCCCCCCCCCGGCGGGGAAGGGATCAAGGGAAGGGGCTTCCCGTTGACTGAAGGACGGCGTTGTTCAATGTTTGTGTTGTGTAGGGAGACCTCGGAAAGCAGAAGAGGCGACGACGCTGTGAAGAAGACGGACAAGCCTCTCCCACACGCCGACAGGGTCGGCGGATTTCTGCGCAGTGGCCGCCGGGCGTGCCCGTGAAATCCCACAGGCGTCACACTTGCGCAGACCAGTGCAAGGGCATCGGTGCCGTGATGGCAATGGTCGGCCGTGTTCAAATTTCAGCCGGCGCCCAATGCCAGATCCTCCCCGCCCTCCGCTCTGCTCTGATGTTGGAGTCCTGGAAATGGGCACCAACACCAACACAGGGGGCTGCCTCCCATCGGGGGAAGATGGTCCTGGATGTCGGTGTTGGTGGTAATACTTCGGCCACCTTGGAGGCCAGAAGATTACCACCATCACCGGGATCGGGATCTTCTGCCCCCGCTGCAGGCACACCGCCGATCTTGGTGTTGGTGTCAACCTCTAGGCCTGCGATGCTGGGCCCCCCTCTGGCCGCGGCCCCCGAGCGCGCCCGGGCCTCGACAGCCCTGCGCGGGGACGGGGAAGGCCCAGCTCCTCACGACCCCTCTGCGGACTCGTCCGACTCCTCGGTGCCGGCGTCCCAGAAGCTGGTGCTGTGCGCGAGCCCGCGGTCTGCCTCTCCCCGGGGGTCGTCGGGGCCCCAGTAGAGCGCGTCCGAGTGCAGGATGTCGGAGCAGGGGCCCCAGTAGTGCTCGTCGGAGTGAGCCACGTCCGAGTTGACGTTCCAGGCGTCCGCCTGGTGGACAATCTTCGGGCGGACGCAGTACGCCTTCACGCTGCCGGAGGCGCACGCGGCGGCCATCCAGTTGTCCACTGGCTCGTTGACGGGCAGCTGGTCCAGGAGGATGCGCGCACCTGCCGGCCAGATGATGTACGCCACCGTCGTCCAGACGTACGCCGCCTCCACCAGGTCGGGAGACACCTCCCGCCGCCAGTCCGCGGCCTGGGAGTAGCCCAGGTAGAGCAGGTGCGCGTCGCTGGGCAGCGCCCGCAGCGCACGCGACAGCGTGGCGCCGAAGTCGGCCGTCGGGGCCGCGTCGTCCTCCAGCACGAGCAGCGGCCTGCCGCCGCAGCCGGCGAGCTCCAGGCAGCGCCTCCAGGCCCGGATGTGCGACATGGCGCAGCCCCTCTCGCCGGGGCTCAGCGCCAGCGTCCGGACCTGGTACGTGTCGAGGTCGTCCCACCCCTTCCGCACGGCGCGCAGCTTCTGGTACTCCACGTTGCGGGCCGTGCTCCAGGACTCCGCCACCTCGTCCGTGCCGATGCTGCTCTGCCTGCCGTCGGTCGCGGAGAACCGGGCCCACGGGAGGTGTGGGCACGCGGCGTCCAGCCTCCTGGCGCAGCCGTCCATCCGGTCCGGCCGGCGGTCGAGGCTGATGACGATGGTCTGGAGGTCTTGGAGGGCGAGCTGCGCCTCTGCCGCGCCCGCCGCCTGCGAGCGCCGCGAGGTCTTGGCAAGGGGCCGCGCCGACGCCGCGGCCGCGGCGCTCTTGCGCGCCTCGCGCAGGCGCTTCTGCCCGCTCGTCGGCGCCCGCTTCGAGCTGGCCGGCGGAGAGGCGACGGCTCCCCTGCCTCCGGCGCTCTTCGGGTCGCGGTGTTGCTTTCCGACGGTGCGCGTCATGCAAGATCCACACAGCGCCTCCGTACGCGATGACGCCTCGAGCTTCGGCCAAAGTGGCCGGTATCGAAACAACTGTTGAGCCAAAATGGCTACGGAACTATGCAGCTGCGTGCGCCGAGAACGCGAATGTGGTCTGCTGTGGAGGTCCCAGTCGGGCCACGAAACGTGTGGGCGGCGTGCGGGGAGCCGCGTGTGGCCGCACTCGCTGGGGCCTTAGGTGGAGCTCTCTACGGGGCTACGGAACGTACGAGTGGTGTGCAGACATGGGCATGCGGTGGGCGGGGGGCCGCATGTGGCAACATCCACTTGAGCCTAAGGTGGAGCTCCCTACGGGGACACGAAGCGTGTGAGCGGCGTGCCAAAATGGACCTGCGGTAAGCGGGGAGCCGCATGTGGTCGCACCCACTGGGGCCTTAGCTGGAGCTCCCTATGGGGCCGCGAAACTTGAGTGGTGTGCAGGCATGAACCTGGGGTGGGCGGGGAGCCGCGGTAACCGGGGAGCCGCATGTGGCCGCACCCACTGGAGCCTTTGGTGCAGCTCCCTGTGGTGCCACGCAACGTGTGAGGGGTATGCACCCACTGGGGCCTCACCCACTGGGGCCTCAGGTGGAGCTCCCGATGGGGCCACGAAATCGTGTGAGGGGTGTGCCGACATGAATATGCACTGCCACGAAACGTGTGAGTGGTGTGCCGAAATAAACCTGCGGTGGGCGGGGAGCCGCATGTGGCCGCATCCGCTGGGGCCTCAAATGGAGCCCCTCTATGGGGCCACGAAACGTGTGATTGGTGTGCAGAAATTGGACATGCGGTAAGCTGGGAGCCACGCGTGACCGCACCCAATTGAGCCTTAGGTGGAGCTCCTTATGGGGCCACGCAACGTGCGAGGGGCGTGAGGTGGAGCCCCCTATGGGGCCAGGAAGCGTGTGAGGAGAGTGCCAAAATGGACATGCGGTGGGCGGGGGGTCGCATGTGGCCACACCAACAGGGGCCCTCTAGATGGAGCTCCCTCTGGGACCGCGAAGCATGTGAGGGGTGTGCCGAAACAGAGACATGCGGAGGGCAGAGGCAGGGATGGGAAGGAGGAGGGCAGGGGGAGAAGAAAGAAGTGAGACGCGGGGCGCTATCTTCAAAACGAGGACCCAACACCACATGATGGTTGTGAACAAAAGCCCTGACCGAACACACCTGGGAATACCCCCCAGGGGATACTGAAATTCGGGGTTCCAGGGGGATAGCAAAATGTTGCCCCCGCAGGTCGCAGCATAAGGATCCCTCCTCTGCTTCCTCCTCTTCCTCGTCCTCCTCCTCCTCCTCCCCCGCCTCGTTCAATCTGCCTCTGCTGCACCACAACGCCTGTGCACACCGCAGCAGCCGCAGGCAACGCAGTGCCCGTGCACACCACGGCGCCGGCGCACGCGACCACAGCGCAGCACGCCCGAGGGACCGCCCGGGGCCCCAGCGCGGGACTCCGACCCACGGCCCCGGGCACGGTGCTGGGCTGGCCTGCGACCGCTGGGGGGCCGGCGGAGGCCGCCGGGCGTGCCGCCGCCCAGGGGCCTCGCTTTCCCCCCCCCCACCCCCCCCGGCAGCGCCAGAGCGCTCGAGATCGGCCTCGCTTCTCCGCCGCCGTGGGCCCCCTCCTGCGGCCCCCCCCGCCGCTCAGGGACGTGGGCGTCGGACGCTCGGGCGCCGGGGGAGGCCAAGGTCGACATCCTTGGGCGGCGGGGTTCCTCCTGCGGCCGGTGTTCCAGGCGTTACCTGTACGGGGAGGGGGAGGGGAAGGGGGGGGGAGATGCGCTACCCCCGCTGGCAACGAGTGTAATAGTACAAATAGAGTGAATAACAGGAATAATAGCACCAGTAGTAGGAGCAATACCAATAACCATAATCATGATGATGCTGATCATGCTGCTACTCCTGATGATAGGTAACAACTGCGATTGGTACTTGGCTCGGTGGATAATAAAGTTCGGCATCGCCGCCCCCCACCGCCGACCGAAAGCGTCTTGGCCGGAGATGCTCAACACCAGAGACTTGAGGGGGGTACGAACTATCATCAGGGGCATCCAGATAGTGCCTGGCTTGTGCTGCCGCCGCGTACGACATGCTCGCGCTTGGCCTCCCCCGTCAGCACTGGGCGGCTCCTGCAAAACTGGCCCGAACCAAGGCTCAGACCCCGAGAGCGCCCGAACATGAAGAACCCGGGCCGGCGCCGCGTGCTCGGCCACCATCTGAATCCGGCCGGGTTGGACAGGCGGCAGGCCACTCCGCCCCCGGTCCCAGCCACATTGGCTCGAGCCGACTGCCCCGCCCATCCTGCGGTGGCAACTCATGGGAGCCTCCCTGACCATCTTGTTGGCCAACGGCAGTCGACGCTGACCGACGGCGATCGACTAAATCGACGCTCGCCGACGCCAATCGACGCTAAATCGGCGCTATCTCATTGATTACCAAACGCTACTCGACGCTCAAGACGGAATCCGCCGACCCTGTCGGCGTGTGGAAGACGCCCTTCCGTTCGTCGTCGTCATCGACGTCGCCGTTGCCGCTTCCTCCCCTTTCCCCCAGGCCTCGTCAAGCACGCAAGCCAAAGCGAAATTGAGCAACGTCGAAATTGAGTCGAAAGGGCACCCCTTGCCAAGGGCATTGAGCAACGGCGAAATTGAGGGGGGTGTCAAGGGGGGGAGAGGGGTCCCGGGTCAGACCATCCCCCCCAGGGGATCTTGGGGCATCAAAAACTCCAAGACGGTTCAAGAGTGTCCCCAGAGGCCTCAAATGGTCAAGAGGGCGCCGAATCGCCAAAAATTATCCGTTCCTGACGCCAGTGGTGGCGCTTCAAGAGCACTCCGACGAGGGCCCCAAGAGGTAAACATGATTGTGTTCCCCGACGTGTTTGAAGGTTCTAGTGCTCTCGCCTTCTCGGCTTCCCGACGCTCCAAGACGGCCTGAGAGGCCTCCAAGATCGCCCCAAGAGGACCCCGAAACGACCCAAGAGAGCCCAAGACGGCCCAAGAGGACCCCAAGACGGCTCCCAGAGCATGCCTGGACAGAGGACTCGAAAGGAGCTCTGAACAATCGGCCCCAGAGACTCCCAGGAGGTCTCAAGATGCCTCCGAGAGGCCCCTCAAGAGGCGCCTAGAGGCCCCCAAGAGGCCCTCAGGAAGACCCAAGAGGCCAGCCCATCCTCGTCCACCTGCTCCATCTCCCTGTCCTCCTCGTTTAAGGATTGGCGGCACTGGCCGTAAGGCCTTCACAATGAAGACGGTGCACAAGGCTCCGAGAACTTGCCACCGAAGCAAGCATCCCAGCATCGGCGAGAGAGGGCAGCAGCAGGGGCAGCGGCAGCAGCACGTGTGCCGACGGCGCCCCGCGGCACCGTGTTTGCTGTCCGTTCCCATGGGAGCCTGCGTGGCAGTGCGGTCCCCTCTGCGGCCCAAACGCAGGAAGAGCTGATTTCAGTGTCGCCGCCCAGGGCTCCCATGAACAGACGTCGAGACTGTGGCATTCCTGCCTCTGCCGTGTGGTCCCTGGCCGTCCCGAGGCACGCCCGAACGGGCGCGCAGGCACGGGGGACCCGCTCCCCAAAGGCGGGCGGCCGGGCGAGGAGGGCTGACGGTTCAGGCATTGCGAGGAGTGCCCCTGGCCTGAGGCGCCCGCGGGAGTTCCAGGGAGGCCCCCGCGGCCTCCAGAGCACCCCTTCACGAGGCCCAGAGGGCCACTGGGACTCCAGCGTGGAGCGCGAAGCCGGGGGGGGCACCTTGGGCCAGGGGGCACCTCTGGCCCCCCCCGAGCGGTGCAGGCCGTCCGAGAACACTCCGGTCATCCAGCTTCTGGCTACCTCCCAGACCACCCCAGCCTCAGCCGAAGACCCAAATTTCAGGTGGGGGGGGGCGGGTCCCGCACGTGTTGCCCAATGTTCCCCGACGCACCCCACCCCACCCGGCTGGGAATGGAGGGCATGCCAGCGGCGCAGAAGGTCCTCAGGCGGGGGCAGCAGATGGGAATGCGAATTTCGAGCAAAGTCGGAAGCGCAGCGAAAGAGCCGTCAATCACTGACGCGCAGGGATGGGTGGTGGGTGGGGAGGGCTGTAATCCAGCGGGCGTGCAGCAGCCAGAAAACCGAGGAGCACGTCCGAGCGAGCTGGACTCCAGGCGAACACTGAAGCGCGAGCAGACTGGTGTGAATTGCCACTGAGCCATCCACGCCCAGCTCGTAAGCCAGCGGCGCAGAAGGTCCTCAGGCGCGGGCACCGCCCGGCCCCGACCTGGGCAGACACGACGCGCAAAAGGGCCCCGGTGCTGCCCGAGTGCCGCCGCCCAGCGAGTGCTCCTCGATGGCCGTGTTCGTCGCCGCCTGGAGCTCCACGGCGATGCCGCTGTCGGTGACCTGCCCGCGGGGGAGGGAGGACGTCCTCGCCGTCTTCCTCCTCGTCCTCGCCCTGGTCCTGGTCCTGGTCCTGGTCCTGCTCGTGCTCGCGCTCGTGCTCCTGCTGCTCCTGCTGCTGCTGCTGCTCCTCCTCCTCCTCCACCACCTCCACCTCCTCCACCTCCTCCTCCTCCTCCTCCTCCTCATCATCATCATCATCACCATCCACAACCTGATTCTCCTCCTCCTCCTCGACGTCGTCCTCCTCGTCCTCATCCTGATTCCCTTCGTCCTCACACTCATCCTCCAACCGCGGGGTTGAACGACCTCCGGCCGCGTGATCTGCAGCCGCGCCATCCTGGCCTCCGCCAACCGTCTCTCGAGGATCCCCTGTCCTCACCTACGGGTTCCTGTGGAGGGCGGGCAGCGCACCCGCCACCCGCACGGGGTTGTGGACCCCTTCCTGGTACCACTCAGGAGATGGTGAGTGTGCCGAGGTATCCACCCAACCCATTGCCTAGAGAGGGGAAGGAGGGAGCGGGAAGGAACAAAAAGGAAGGCATGCTCCCTCCGCGGGATACCGCCGAGAAGGAGAAGAAGATGTATTTCAAGACCCGCCTCGCTAAGTCGTCATCTGGTGGGAGTCTCGAAGTACCCGTGGTTCTCCGAAGGCGGAGGAGAAGGAAAATAGTGCGGGGGAGATGGAGAACGAGTAAGGCGACGAGGGACACGATCAAGGGGGACCGAGGATGAGAAACAAGAAGGGGGGAGCCTGGGACGGGGGCCAGGAGGAGGAGGAGAGAGGATGGAAGACGAGGAAGGGTATGCTATAAGATGAGACAGAGCCCCGAGGGCGCTTCGTGGAGGCCTCGCCCGGGCCCCCAGCGGGCACCCCGGAGAGAGAGGCCGCAGCGGCAGACACGTCGCCCTCCGCGCCCCTCTGCGCCAAAAGGCGCTTCCCCGGGGCCTCTGCCGAGGGGGGAGGGGGGCCCGCCGCCGCGAGGGCCGGAGCACGAAGGGCGCGCGCGCCCTCGACCCCCCCGCCGCCAGGGGCGGGCCCCGCGAGGGGCGCGCTCCTGGCGGCGGGCCCCGCGAGGGGCGGGCCCCGCTAGGGGCGGGCCCTCGACCCCCCCGCCGCCAGGGGCGCGCCTTCTGCCGAGGGGGGGAGGGGGGCCGGCCGCCGCGAGGGCCAGCGCACGCAGGGCGCGCGCGCGCCCTCGACCCCCCCGTCGCCAGGGGCGGGCCCCGCGGCGCCCGTCCGCGGGGAGGGGCCTCCCGAGGCCGCCGCAGGGCCCCGAGTGGCGTCCCCGGAGGCCTGGAGATGGGCACCAACCCGACCAGCCATAACTGGGGGAGCTGTGGTCCTTACCCCCCTGGGGGAACCCATCGCATCGACGACCTCTCGAGAGGGGTATCGAAATCGATGGATCCCCCAGGGGGGTAAGGACCACAGCTCCCCCAGTTATGGCTGGCCTGCCAACACCAAGACAGGGGGCTGCCTCCATGAGGGGGGAGATGCTCCAGGAGTTCGGTGCTGGTGGTAAGAGTTCGGCCACCCTTGGAAGCCAGAACAGTGCCACCATCACCGGGATCGGGATCTTCTTCCCTCGGTGGAGGCACACCGCCGATATTGGTGTTGGTGTCAACCTCTACGCCTGCGACGTCACAGCCAGGGGGGCCAGGACCAGGCGCGGGGCCCCCAGGAGCTTCCGACGGGTCGCCCCGGGCAGATCGGGAACAGAAGCTCGCGCCCGTTGCACTCGGATGCCGGTCGGCACGCCCACGGGCAGGTCCAACACAACGTCCTGCACACTGGCCTTGTGAGACTGCCACTGTCGTGCCCTGAGACGGCGGAACTTGGGACGCACAGAGACATACTAATACTATATGTCCTCCTTGGAGGTGCGCATCCGACCCGCACATATAGTATAAGTATGTTGGGGTGACGCCGAGACCTGGTCTTGAAGTCTGGATCTCGCATGTTCCCACGAAGGCAGGGCCGCAGCAAAGCCCTCGTCGGCTTGAAACCCGTGCGATTGGCCCCGCTGGCGGAACAAACCGCGGAAGCTCCATCATCTTCACGCCCGCCACGCCCGAGCGCGCAGCAGAGGATGGCCGTCGCAGCTGTAGCCCATCTCTGCGAATTCATCCCAGCCGTCTGCTGGACGGGCCAAGACAAGGCAGGCAAGTCGGGAGGCACTGGGAGAGGCGCCTCAAGTTGGGTTTCCACCGATCCCTCTGGATGACCCGCGGCGCGCCCTGGGAGAGCGCCCTGCACTTGGTCGGGCCCTCCAGGCCCTCCCTGACCGACAAATGCAACGACGCCACCAGCAGTCCCGAGGGGAAGCCGGCCTTCACCTTTCGCACCACACACCGCCGAGCTGCACCGCACAAGGACTCGGGGAGCTGCATCGCCGTCGAGGCCAAGCACGTGGCTCTGGACCCCCTCCCCCCCCCCCCCCCACACACACCCACACACCCCCACACCCCCACACACACACACACACACACACACACACACACACACACACACACACAACACACACACACACACACACACACACACACACACACACACACACACACACACACACACACACACACACACGCACACGCACACGCACACACACACACACACCCTGGCATCGCTCGGACGTGTGCATTTTTCCTTCGGCGAGGACCATCGAGGAGCACCCTTGACCATTTGGCGAAAAAAACACGCACGAAACCGAAACAAAACACAGGGAATGGGCGTCCGAGCGATGGCGAGACACACTCCTCCCGAGCTCTCCACGGGGCCTGTCCCTGTCGCCTCCGCACCGCCGAGCGACGCAGAAAGACTGCGGCGGTCGGCCTGCTCGAGGGCGGCCTGCCCCTCGGCCGCGGGCAGCCTGGTGCGCGTCTCCCGGACTGCGATCGCCCCCGGAGAAAGGCACGCTGCCGCCGCGGGCCGCCTGGCCGGCCTGCATGCCTGCGTCGCACAGCCGGTCGTAGGCGCCCTAGAAGATGTTCCACGAAGTCGAACCGAGTCCCAGGAAGATCAGATCCTGGGGCTCAGCTTTTCCGACCAGGCTGGGCAAATGGCGGGGGGGGGGGCGCGCTCGTCGGGCAAGTCACGTTGCGTTCTGGCGCCTCTCGCGACGATGCGTGGCGACGCGATGCAGGCGGGGAGCTCTCCAGGCCGCGCTCGAGGCGCTCGCGGCCTCCTGCCGTTCTGACATCCGCAAATCGCGGACCAAAGAAGGCGTCGATGCGGTACCCAGCCCACTGGTGGGCAAAGTCCTGCTCGTGGTCGCCGAACCCGCAGCAATCTGCGAAGCCGACGCGGCCACTGAACCCGAGGATCCCACCAGAGAGGTCGGCACCGTCATCGGCTCTCCAGAGCTCGACGGGCTCGACGCCGATGTCCCAGCACAAGGGGCACTCGCAGCGAACCATCCGTCCGATGCACCAGGGGGCCGCGGCCCCAGCACTGCAGCGTCCCCGGGGTTGCCGCGGGGCCGCGGCCCCGACGCGGCACTCGCATCGCAGGGGGCGCTCGCAGCGAACCCTCCGCCCATTGCCACGAGGGGGGGCGTGGCCCCGGCATGGCAGACTTCCCAAGGTCGTAGCAGGGTCACATCCTCGACGCGGTAACCCGCGGCACAGAGCCCACGACCCCGAGTCGCCCTCCTCGCTGGCTGCCTCGCCTGGGGGGTGGCCTTCGCTCCGTTGACGAGCGGCGGGCGGTCTCGCTGGCCTTCGCGTCGTGGGAGCGGAACCCAGCGGCGACCACCCGAAGACGTCCAACTCCAACGAACTAGAAGCGTTTCTGCTCATTGGACGCGTGCTCAGCGAGGGACTTGGCCACCTGGACGTCAACTTGGGCATGGCTTGAGCCCGCTCTGAAGCTCTCCGTCGACGAAGTCCGTCTCGTCCATGGGCTTGACTCCGCGGTCCACCCCTCCACGGGGGTCTGCCGAGCCCGATGATGCAGCGCCCCTGCCACTAGACCCATGAGCCCAGGCAGCGCCGCCAGTCCGCCGTTCAGCAGCCCCAGCCTCAGCCTGAGTGGCAAGCTCCTGCAGACGGCGAAGCTGCTCCAGCTCCTGCTTGCCTTCTTGAGGCGACTTGACGGACTCGCTGAGACACGCGAAGCCAAGCTCGATGGGATTCTCAGCGCTCGCCAGGTACACTTTGTGCGAAACCTTGATGACTCTTTCCAGCTCGCGGCGCGCTTTCTGGAGAAACTTCCCGTTGTCGGCGATGGCCTTGCCGAGCTCCTCCCGCTGCTCCTTGGAGCTGGCGATCCGCTGCTCGAGGCGCTCGACCTTCTTCCTGCTGTTCTCGACCCTGTGTTGGGCCGCGATGGCCGATGCGGGCTTGCTCTCCCGATCTGCAATGTGCTTCTCTTGCACCGTGGAGATCGCGGCCTCAATCATGTTGTTCTGATCGAGGGACTGCAGAACCTGGCTGCAAGACAGGTCGGACTGGGGCTGCTGCTGCACAATCGAGTGCGGTCCTCATCCGTCCATAGTAGAGTTGTGGATGCCACGACAATGGACACCCTAACAGTCCCATCATCGGAAGTAAAAACGTGTTTATAAAATGCTGGAAACTGTCCTGAACATGCTTTAAGCATGTGTTTCGCATGTTCAACAACATATTTTAACATGTGTTAGACATATTGAAACTATGTGGCAACATGCTTCCTCTCCATTGACCGTCCTCCGCCCATGGTAGAGCGCATGGCCGCCACCTACGCCTTGAGTTCCCTAAGACTCGCCTCCTGGGGGGCCACGCGCCCAAGCCGACAGGGCCTGCTTGAGCTGCTGCGCGGCGGCGGAGGCAGCACGTGCGATCCTCTGCGGGGCCGATGCACCGCAGCCTCTGCACTCGAGGCTGCTGGCCCAGTTGACGTCAGTCCCGCGCCTGCACCTCCACGTGGGGTACAATCGAACAAGGGTGTAAGATCGAGGTCGGTTCGGCGAGGGTGGCCTTGTGTTCTTCGTGCATGTGGGCTGTTGTTGTGCATCCTGGAGAGGGTACCCTTGGATGGTCTGTGCGGTTTGGCTGGCGGAAGGTCGCATGTTCTTGAAGGAGTCTTGAAGGATGTCCTTCTGGCCAAGATCTGACTGTGCTTCGGGCCTGGCAGCACATCCTTGTGGGGAGTGCCCATGAACCCCCATGGACACAAAATTACCAAAGTTTGGCTCGCGGACACGACGCCACTTCGAAGTACGTGCCCGCAACACTCTCGAATTCGAATGGCCAGGACGAGGAAGGAGGAGGGACGAGGGGAGGGAGGGACGGGGGAGGGAGGGACGGGGGGGGGCGGAGGAGGGGGGCAAGGATGGGGGATGCAGGGAAGGTGGAGGGAGCGGGAGAGAGGATGGAGCAGGGACCAGGAGGGGGACGGGGAGTGGGGGAGGAGGCAAAAGAAGAGGAGGAGGAGGAGGTGGAGCGCCCGTAGCTCGAGGAAGAGGAGGACAAGGACGAGGACGAGGAGGAGGAGGAGGAGGAGGAGGTGGAGGACGAGGACGAGGAGGAGGAGGAGGAGGAGGACGGCGAAGTGCCACACCGTGTCGCCGAGGGTGCAGATTGCGAAGACGCCGTGCCGATCGACACGGGGACCCCGCCCGGGCCCCGACGCCTGAGAGCGCAGGTCCTCCACCGCGGTGAGGACGTTGGTAATCTCGCCCTTGTGCATGGCCTGCTCGCGGCCCACTCCTGCTCCTCCCGCCGCTCCTCCTGGTTCTGCCTCTGCTCCTCCTCGCCGCCATCCACCCTCCCCCCCACCACACTTCCTGCTGCGCGTGCCCCTCCTGCTGCCCCTGCTCCTGCTCCGCCTGCCGCCGCTGCTACAACCCCCGCTGCTCCCGCTCCTCCTGTTCATGCGGCTCTGCCTGCTCCTCCCACCGGTTCTCCTCCTGAGCCGCAGACGCGTGGAAGTGGCTCGAGCAGCTCGCAGCTCACCCATCTGTACAGTATTCATGCACGGCACTATCCCCTCATCTGCCTCCAACCTCGTAGGTGCATCCTCCCCGTGACACTTCCCTCGGCCCACCTTTACCCGCACATCCGTGATTACGTCGACACCCTCCACACCAAGTGCTGCCGCAGGTGCTGCTGCTCGTTCTGCCGCCTTCGCTGACAACAACGCGCGTAAACCTGAAACAAGGCATAAGCACACACTCAAGCTAGTGCCGTAAGGACAACCACATGAGGAACGGCGCCCCTTCTTGGCCCACCTCCTCCACCTCCCCCTCCTCCTCCCCCTCCTCCTGCTCCTCCTCATATTCCTCCTCCTCCTCCTCCTTCCCCATCTACCTCCTCTACCTCCTCCTCCTCCTCCTCCTCCTCCTCCTCCTCCTCCTCCTCCTCCTCCTCCTCCTCCTCCCCCTCCTACGTATCGTGCTCCTCTGAGGATGTATCATGGTCTGCCCCTCGCCCCCGCCTCTCCCCGCCAGCCACTCCGCCCGCGCAGCGCCTTTAGCTCCTGGGAGAGGCCCAGCATGACCTCCAGAGCGGGAGGAGGGAAAGAGGGGGAGAGAGAGGGAGGACGAGAAGGAGGAGGAGGAGCTGGGGGAGGATACGGATATGGAGGAGGAACAGGAGGAGAAGAAGAAGGAGAGAGAGGGACAAAGAGGGAGGGTGGACGAGGGAAGGAGGACGAGGGAAGACAAAGGGAAAACAAGACAAGACAAGGCAAGAACCGATGCGTACCAAGTGTCGACAGTGACAGACAAAAAAATATGGACCTTGGATGCGCGTGGCACGCCTACCAGCGGCTGCCGCTGGAAGGACGGCTTTCTCTGGCCGACAGGGGGACAGCGCTGGGGTAAACCAGGCTTCCCGCCAGAGGCATCATCCTTCCGATTGAAGGAAGAGAGGGGCGAGCAGCTGCGCGGGGGCGTCTGGAGATCACAAGAGCCCTACCACACCGTTGCCTGGGCCCGCTTCTTTTCGAGTCATAGTTCGGGCCTCCAGCGGCCGTTCGGGGCGATCCGGCCCCCCCCCGGGCGCCCTCGACGAGGCGCAGCCGATGGACACAGAGAGCGGGGGCGGGGTGGGCAGGCGGCATCGTGTTTGCACGGCGCCCCGAGAAGGGCCGCGGAGACGGGCGGGCAGCCCGGGCGGCGCGGCACCTCGGTGGCCAGCTCCCTGGCCCGCTCGGCCGTGACCGCGGCTCCCTGCCCAAGGCCGCCGTCCTGGCGCGGATGGGGCGCGGCGATTCCCCGCGCGTTCGGTCTCCTCCAGCCCAGCTCGTCCCCCATCCTCCACCTCCACGTGCTCCACACCCTCCCTCTCCCCCCATCCATCATCCATTCGTTACGCTGGGTCCCCGTATCCGCCTCGGCATCCTCCTCGCCTCGCGTCGCGTCACGTCGCCTCCTTTTCCGTCAACACCTACTCAACATCGCTCGCCTCCACCACCTCGTCCCAGGCATCTGCCTTGTCATTATCCTCTTCCCGTTCAACATAGGCGTCGGCCTGAGCCTCGTCCTCTTCCTTCCCCTTCTCATCCCACTCCTTCTCCGTCGTCCTGTGTTTTTCCATCCAGTTGCCCTCTACCTCATTCCCTTGCCGCTGCAATCTAGTGTTCCTGACCCTGCTCATGCTCCTTCTCCTCCTCCTCTTGCTGCTGCTGCCGCTGCTGCTGCTGCGCTGGGGCGAGAGCGCCATTCTGAATGACGGGAGCAAGCGCGGAGCCTGAAAGGTGACCAACGCTGCAGCGGGAACACAATGTTGATGAAACGGCCGAGAACGTCAAGACTGGAAACACATACTGACGGAAGCCTGCTCGAAAGAACCAAGTGTGCAAAAACAACGTATGCGGCACAGCTTTCTCGAATAGGGATGGCATCAGGGAAGAGAGGAGACTAGTACTCGTGTTGAGCACTTGTTGAGGAGGGGATAGGGGAGAGTTATGAAGGAGGAACTGTGAGGAATAATATGTTTGGAGCAGGACTGGCGCACCAAGGGCACAAGCCTCACACGGCACAACCCGTAGACACCGACACATGGTATGGCCGCATAGCCGCAGGTGGCCAGAACTCGTTGGTCATTCCCTACCCTACTATCTTCCCCATCCCCGTCGTCGACCCCGTCCTGCATGCCCCCCCTCGTCAGTCCTCCCTCCCTCCCCCTCCTCGTCCTCCTCCTCCTCCTCCTCGTCCTCCTCCTCCTCCTCTTCCTCATCCTCCTCCGCTGTTTGGGGTCGACCTCACTCGCGAAGAAGGGTGAGTGGCTGTGCCCACCGTGTTTCACCCAAATTAGTGTAAGTAGTGACATTCGTCAACTACCTCCTGGGGGCAGGGCGCATATCTCGGGGGGGGGGTCGCTCATGGAAGCCACGTTTTAAAGCTTCACATGGGGCTGGGGCTTTGGTTCTGTACCTCGTGTGGCAGCTTCGCAGCTCAGCAGCTGGTGAAATTCGGGGAGGTGTGTGATCCAAAGCTTGCTTGAACTCGTAGCCGTGAAGATTATTTGAGTCGTATCGAGCGGGGTCTCTGGCCGAAGGTCTACAGCAAGACCGAAATAGCCATGAGGGCCCCGAAACAATAATTATCCGACCTAGTCACTATACCCGTAACTCCGTAATCCCTCATCCTCCTCATCCTCGTCCTGTACCTCCTCCTGCCCACGGGGCCCACGGCCAAACCTCGTTGGCCCTGCGGCGAGCCACGCTCCCGGCCGATGGACATGCAAGCTCTAGGAGGGGATGGAGGAGGACAAAGAAAATGAGCACAAGCCCAACACCATCAAATAATGGTAACCTCACGCTGCATCCCCGTGCATGCCGCCAAGGCTGCGCCGAGGGCGCAAGCAGGGCGATCAGGCGCCGCATGCTCGCACGCGGCGGCGCCGTCTGGTGTAATCCTCCGTCGCATCGCCACCGACGAAGGAAATCCCACCAGCTCTTTGGGCTAAGGTGGTCAAGCGAGTTCTTCGTTTCCTCTTCCCGAAAACCCTTTTTCCCTTCGGGGAGGGGTACCCCCCTTCCCTCCGTGCGGTCTTTTGGGCGGGGACCGCGAGGAGGTAAAGGATCCTTTTTTCGCCCAGGATGGCTTCAAGAGGGCCCTCGATGCTCCGAGATGATCTCCAAGGCGGCTCAAGATAGCCGAAGATGATTCAACATAGCTTCTGGCATACATCCCAGAGGCCCGACGAGGGCAAAAAGACGATTCCGAGTGCCCTCAGAGCCCCCACAAGGACCCCTTCACGAGTCCAACATTCTTCAAACACCTTCGGAAATTGACTGGTGTTTGCCTTCGCCGTATCGCTTCCGATGCGCTTTGACGCCCCGAGATTTTCCCAATATGGCCCATGGCCCCAAAAGGGGCCCAAGAGGCCCCCACAACGGCCCTAAAAGCGCCCAAGATCGTCACAACCGCGCCCCAAGAGCGCCTCAAGAGGCGATTTGGATGGCCTCAGAGGGAGGGGCAGATCGAGGACCCCCCCGCCGTTTGATCGATGGCCTCCAAGATGGCCCGAAGAGGCCCTCCAGGGCTCCCAAGGGACATCCAAGGCGGCTCCCAGAGGGCCCCAAGCGGGCCCCCAGACCCTCAACAGAGCCCCAAGAGGACCTACATCTCCCCCCGAGAGGGCTCCGACAGGCGAGTTTGAGGGCGCTGTCCTCGTCATCGTTGTCCTCCCTCCTTCCTTCCTTCCTTCCACTCGGCTTGACGCGGCCCGCAGCGCCGGGACCGCGCGGCCGGCCGGGCCGCCCGGCTCGGCCCGTTCACTCCGCGGGCGGCCTCCGAGTGCCTGCCGCGCGGCGACCCTCCCCGCGGCCGAGGACGTGGAGGGTGACGCCCGACGCTATGCGGGGGGCGCCCGCCCTCCATTTCCTCGGGGAGGGGTCCCTCGGGCGGCCCCCCCAGCACGTAGCTGGCGGAGTGCCTCGCGAGGGCTGCCCCCGGCAGCCCCGCTGTGGTGAACGGGTTGCTGCACGGCGGGCACTCGGCCCGGAGCGGACACGGCGGCGCAGCGGGCCCGGGGCGAGGGGGCGGGGCCAGGCCAAGGCGCCCCGGGGGCGGAGGCGGGGGCCGGGCCAGGAAAGACAAGACGGGGCCAGGGCGGCCGGGGGCCGAGGCCGAGCCGGGCAAGGGAGGACAGAGCGGGGCCAGGCGGGCCAAGGGCGAGCCGAATCCAAAAGTGACCACACCAGCTTTAGGTCGTTTTTGAAGTCGGCCCCGAAGGCGGGACGGGGCCCAAGGACGGGGGCCCAGGCCAAGGGCCGCAAGGCGGCCCAGGGGGTGCCCGAGGGGCGGCGCGGCGCGGCGGCGGGTCCTGCGGCGGCGGCGCCGACGCCGACGCCGCCTCCTTCCGGCGGGGGACAGGGCGGCGAGGGTCTTGGGCGGGGCGGAGCAGCCAGGAGTGCGCCCGCGAGCGAGCACACCGCAGGATGAGTCGGCGGCGAGCGGAGGGCCTCCTCCCTCCTCCCTCCTCCTCCACCTCCTCCTGCTCCTCCTACTCCTCCTGCTCCTGCTCCTGCTCCTGCTCCTCCTCCTCCTCCTCCTCCTCCTCCTTCCTCCTCCTCCTCCTCCTCCTCCTCCTCCTTCTTTTTCTTCTTCTTCTTCGTCTTCTTCTTCTTCCTCTTCTTCCTCCTCTTCCTCCTCCTCCTCCTCCTCCTCCTCCTCCTCCTCCTCCTCCTCCGGGGAGGAGGCGAGAAGGGGCGGGCCTGCTCGGAAGCCCCCTTGCCTTCTGAGAAGCTGTCTGAGCCCTCCGCGGAGACCCAGCAAAGACCTCTCAGAAGGCGCGAGGGCTTCTGAGAAGTCCGGCCGCCTTCTGAGAAGGCCTTCTCCTTCCCACTTCCCCCCTCGCTCACCGCCGAGAGAGAGGAAAACCTGAAGGACCGTGAGAGCGGTCAAGACGGGCGCCAGGGCGGGGGCGGGGTGCGGGGTGTCGACGAGAGTTGAAAGAAGAGCACACGCTCAAACCTACAGGACGGAGGATCTGGGGATGGGCGAGGCTCTGAAGGCGCTGCAGTTGTGGGTGCGAGCTGTCGATCCCCGAGAGGGGGGCTCCCGTTCGATCGGGGACCACCCTCCGACGACACGCACCCATCGCCCCCACCGCCGAAACTTGACACCGGGGGAAAAAAAAGAGGTCGCATGGGTATGGGAGCTGACTGCCAGCTGGTGAAGAGTAGCCGTGTCTCCACCCAGCACACCAGAAGAGGGTACAGAAACAGCGGGCACGATGGCCAGCAGCAGCGGCTGTCCGAAACCGACAGCGGCGCTATTGGGCAGGCGAAGTCGTGTCTCAAGAGCGCAAGGTGCGCGGCGACGCCGACAGCGAGCCCTGTTCTCAAAATGGGCAGGAACTGCTGTCGGTCTTCGTGCCCAGTCTTTCCGTATCGGATTCGATTCTCCAGATCCACACCCGCCCATGGGATTCTGCAGATCTCGCGAGCTGGCCATGCCCACGTCCGCTGCTTCTCGGGGACGGGACCGCCGGCTGGGCCCGTGGGCGAACAACATTGAATGCCGAGAGATTGCGCAGTGATGTGGTTTTGCATTGGCGGCCATAATTCCACCTGGCTCACTGGAACTCCAGTGTTCTTCATCTGGGAGAGCATGACATTACTGTCCACTCTGGTCATGCCGGTGCAGGGCGATGCTGTGACGTTCGCACGTTGGCTGGATATCAGGCGGCAAATGCCACACCACCATCTCCGCTTCAGGCCCGCATCCCCCTCCCCAGCCGAGGGACGGGACGAAGAGTGAGGAGAGGTGCCTTCGGGGCCTCCTGTCCAGGCGCGTAAGGAGGGGAGGAGGGAGGAGTACGAGGAGATCCACAAGCCCTCTAGGGCGCAGGTGGTTGAGAGCGACGTTCACCCCTCCCCCCACGCCCCATACCCCCTCCCCTGGACATGGAAGAGTGGTTTCGCTACCAGTTGGAGCGTCCAAGTAGGCCTCGGCGAAGAGGCTCAACACAATGAGTGCGCTACTGGCCATCTCTCGGACGTCCCTTTCCAATGTTTTTTTTCCGGTTTCGTGCGTGGCTTTTTCGCCAAATGATCAAGGATGCTCCTCGATGGTCCTCGCCGACGGAAAAATGCACACGTCCGAGCAATGCCAAGGCTAAGGTTTTGAACACATGTTTGGCCTCCTGAGGGGAGATGCTAACTAAGCCCCCCCTTGTGTGATAGATCTCCTTCAAGATGGCCCCAAGATGGCCCCGAAGAGTGCCCCAAGAGGCGCGCAGGAGGCCCCAAGAGGCCCCCAAGACGCTAAAAGCAGACCCCCACGAGGCCCCAAGAGGCTCCTCAGAGGCGCCCAAAACGCCCCAAGAGGCCCCCCAGGACCGCTAAGAAGTCCTCAAGACGCCCCAAGAGGTCCCCAAGAAGCTCAGAGAGACATCCAAGAGGCATCTGGCCATTCTGGTCGCCCTCCTCCTCCTCCTCCTCCCCCGCTTGTCCTTCCTCCTTCATCCTCTCCGTTCCCCCTCCCCTTCCCCCTCTCGCTCCTCCTCCTCCTCCTCCTCCTCCTCCTCCTCCTCCTCCGATTCCTCGACCTCTTGGGGTATGACGGCTTCACCAGCCCACTGTTCCACTGCATGCTCCTCCACATCCCAGGTCAGGGCAACTCGCCTGGGCATCAGTTCTGGATTGGCTGGTAGGGCTACTTTTTGGTCGCGGGCGGACGCGCATTCGCAGTCGCCGAGCTGAGAGGTCCAGGCCACGGGCCTGTCAAATTGCTGGTGGAGCTACGCGAAGCGCAAACCATGGAAACGTTATAATTTCGTTTGGGCCCTCCCTTATGACCGTCTTCGTTGGCCGCAAGGCCGTAAAGGAATCCGTGGCCCCTTCCGGTGCCTTTTGACGGCATGGTGGATTGGTGTACTGATGCGAAAAAGGACCCAAATTGGGAAGCCCGAAAGTAAGACGGAAAAACCGACAGTGGCCGCTGTTGGGCAGGCGGCCTCCTGTCCAAAATGGCAAGTGTCCGCGGCAACGCCGACGGCGAACCCTGCTCAAAATGGACAGAGCCTGCTGTTGGCCTTCGTACCCGTTCTTTCCGTATCCATTCCGTTCCTACCGGCCAGAGTGGATGCGGAGCGGAAAGGAGGGACGCACGACGAAAGAACACCAGTGCGGACAGCAGTCGGGGCCGGCTTGAGACCAGGTGAATGAGGCCGCGGCCTCTACAATACTATGGCGTATGGTGAGGCACGCGTGCGAGACCTCTACAAAAGCTAAGTGAGCCGGACGAGGGGAGGCGAGGAGGAGGGGGACCAGTCTTTGTTGTCTGAGCCGTCAGGGGCGCCCAAACTTCGCGCCCTGCGCCGCGCGCAGCGCGAACAACCCCGCGCTCTCGCGCCGCCCCCCCAGGGGAGAAGAGGAGGACGAGGAGGAGTCGGGGCCGAACCCGCGGAGCGCGACGCGCGCACGACGCCGCGCCCTCGGGGGCGCCCTGGGCCGCCGGCCTGCCCAGGGGCGGAGAGGCGGCGGAGAGGGGAGCAGCGCCCCCCCCCCTCCGCTGCCTCGCAGGCCTCGGGCAGGGGCCGCCCGGCCCCCGGCCCTCGCTCGCGCCGCCGCCCGGGAGGGCCCGTGCCTTCGCCCCCTCGTGGGGCCCAGGGGTGGGCCCTGGCCAGGCACGGTGGTGATGCGAAGCGCCTCGAGCCTCGGGCCTCCCCCTATGCCGCGCGACCGTCGGGGGGGGGGACGAGAGGGCAGGGCAGCAGGGGGTGGGGCCCAGCCCTGAGGTGCAGCAAGCGCAGTGTCATGCACTTGCTTGCCGTGCGCTGTGTCGAACGCACAGACAGCATGCGCACAGCGCGCGCGCAGCATGCGCTACGCGCACGATCGTTCGATGGGGATCTTGAGATCCCCATCGAACGATCGCGCGCGAGCGGGCCTCGCGTGGCGCGACCAGATATTACGGTAAGCGCCCCCCCCATGCGAAGCAAACGCGCCAAGGGGCACGGTGGTGACGCGGAGCGCCCCGAGCCTCGGGCCTCCCCCGGTGCCGCGCGACCGTCGGGGGGGGGACGCGGAGAGGGCAGGGCCGCACAGGGTGGGTTGGAGAATCGCCTGGCGCCGCCCGGCGCCGGGAGGCGCCCGCGTATCGAGGAACGTGCCCCGCGGCAGGGCCGAAACCAGCTGCATGCAGCAGATCTCGCCCCCCCCCCCCACCCCCCCTTTCCCCATCCCCCCCGTTCGTTCGGCCCGAGACCGATCACAGGCTGCCAGCCAGCCCACCCACCCATGGGAGGGGGCCCCCACCATGCTGAGCACTGGCCAGGGAAGGTGGGGATGGCGATCCCGCTGCGCGCGCCCTCTTCTCTGGTGACCATCCCCCCACCCGCGCGACTAGGGACGCCGCCGCGCGCGGCTCACTGTTTCTTCTTGTGTTCCTTCTTCTTCTTCTTATTATTATTATTCTTATTTTCCAGCTTCCTCATGTAGGACGTCAGCTCGTTGCCCTCAAAGACGTAGCCGTCGCACCGCCCGCTCTGCCCTGGGCGGGAGGCGATGCACGTGAGCAGTCGGCCGCTCTGGAACTGCTCCTCGACGCCCGGGTCCAGCTTCTGCCTGGAAACCAGGTGCTTCTGGTTTGCCATGACGTGGTGGCTCCTCTTGCCCTCCTCCTCGCCCTCCTTCTTGACAGGGGCACCCTTAATCTTCATCCCGAGGTCAAACCCGAACTTCTTGAGGTAGTACTGCTTGAAGGGTTGCGCATCAGTCTGCACGATCTTCACGAGGGTCTTCGTGCGCACAAGCTCGTTGCTGCTGGCGTTGTAGACGACGTCCAAGACGCGAACCCTCTTGGGCCCACGCGACATTGCCGCTGTCCACGGCGGAGGGCGCGGTACTTCATGTTGCCCCCCGCGGCCGTGCACCGGGCGCACGCGCTCGGAGCCCAGCTTGCAGTGGGCTCACGGCCGGCCCCTCTCGTACTTGCGCTCCTTCTGGTGGACGCTTCTGCGGGCGCCGGTCTTGCGGTGCTTCTGGCGGGAGTGGCGCGAGATGCCCATGGCTCCAAAGGCTCGCCCGAGGTAGCTATCCGCGGGGGGGGGCGCACGTGCGCGGGCGGGGCATTGACAGGGCCGCGCCTCGAGCAAAAACGGCAGCTTGAGCCGAAACGGCTACGTATGAGGGCCAATGAGAAGGAGGGGGGAGGAGCAGGAGGAGGAGGAAAGGGAGGAACGGAGGAGCAGGACAGGAGGAAGGAAGAGGAAGGAGGAAAGGACAGGAGGCAGGAGGAAAGAGGAGGGAGCAGGGCAGCAGGAAGGAGGAGGGCAAGAGGAAGGGAGGGGCAAAAAGCAGGAGCAGGAAGGGAGGAGGGAAAGCGCATGGAGGTGACAGGGGGGAGGCAGGAGGAACGAAGCCCGACCCCCGAGCCTGCGGCCTCGGTCCTCGAGCCCGCGGCCTCGACCCCTCGAGCCCTCGAGCCTCGAAGCCTCGAGCCTCCAGCCTCGCGCCTCGGCCCGAGATCCTCCGGCCTCGGCCGCCGATGCTAGGAGCCTCGCCCGAGCCTCCGGCCCCGCCCCGCCGATCCTGAAGAGGCCCTGGGACACACAAATAAATAGACACAAGTAGCCGGACTCCCCATCGTTTCCCATGCTTTCTGTGGTCTTGTCTTCCCCCCCACTCCCCACATTTCCCCATTTTTCCCTGGGGATCGACGACTCACTGTGTCTGTGTGTTTTTTCCCCTCCCAGGCTGGTGTACATGATGAGCCGTTGACGGCACCACCAACCACAGCATTTTGCTTCTTCGGGTACTTCGCCACCGGGTTCCTGTACAAGGCGTTCCTTTGCAAGCACGTCGTCTTCGGCACCGCCTGATCCCGTCGAGGCTTTGCCTCCTCCTGGTCTGACCGTGAGGCCTCTCCTTCTATCCCCCCTCTTTGTTAATTCGAGCTTCGCGCGGCCCGCTTAGCTTCGACCAGAAGAGGCGCGCCCTCGACCCGCGAATCACAAAAATGTTTTTGTCCCCCTCCCGAGATCCTCCCCTGGGGATCCCTCGAGGCGTCCGGCTGCCGGTCCCTCGAGCCCTCGGGGCCCCACCGAGCCCGCGGGCCCCTCTCGCCCCCACGCGCGGCGTGCGGCGCTGGCGCCCTGCCTGCTTGGAGCCCTCGTCGTCGTCGTCGTCGTCGTCGTCGACTTGTCGTCGTCGTCGTCGTCGTCGTCGTCGTCGTCGTCGTCGTCGTGCGAGCGGGCGGCTCGACCGCGTCGAGCCCGCGGCCCCGCCCCGCCGCCCCTCCTCGAGGGACTGCATGCGCCGCCGCAGCTCCTCGCTCGCGTCGCGGAAGGCCTCGGCCGGCGGAGGCCCCGCCGGGCGGCCCGGGGACCCTCTCTGGCCCCCCTCTTCGCCTGGTGGTCGCCCCCCCCCTCCCTCCCACCTCGCGCCTCCTGCTCGTCCTGTTCATTCTGCTCCTGGTCGTTCCTCCTCCCACGCCCTCCTCCTGCACCCTCCTCTTCCTCCTCCTCCTCCTCCTCCTCCTCCTCATCCTCCTCCTCTTCCCACCCTACTCATTATGGTCCTACTCATGGCCATCCATCCCCCCTCGTATTCCCCCTCATCCTCATCCTCATCTTCAGTATCGCCATCATCACCCTCACCCTCACCCTCACCATCACCCTCACCCTCACCCTCACCATCACCATCACCACCAGTATCGAGTATCGTCATCATCATCGTCATCGTCACCGTCAACATCACCAGCATCAGCATCAGCATCATCAGCATCATCATCATCATCATCATCGACATCCTCATCATACTGATCATCAGCATCATGATCATGATCATGATCATGATCATGATCATGATCATGATCATGATCATGATCATCATCATCATCATCATCATCATCATCATCATCATCATCATCATCGTCATCATCATCGGTAGTATAATCATCATCATTGTCATCACCATCAGCATCATGACTATCATCATCGGCATCACTAGAAGCATCATCAGAATCGGTAGTATAATCATCATCATCGTCATCAACATCAACATCATGACTATCATCATCGACACCAATATCATCATCATCATCATCATCATCATCATCATCATCAGCATCACCATCATCATCATCATAACCATCATCATCATCAGCATCACCATCCTCATTATCATCATCCTCATCATCATCATCATCATCATCATCATCATAACCATCGTCATCATCATCAGCATCCTCAGCACCATAATCAACATCATAATCATCAGCAGCAACATCATCAACACCACCATCATCATCACAATCATCATGCATCAGGATCATAATCATACTCATCATACTCATTACCATCAGCATTTATCGCATTGCCATCGTCATCGCCGTCGTCGTCGTCATCATTATCCGCAACATCCTTATCATCATCAGCATCACCACCACCACATCATCATCACCATTATCACACCATCATCATCAGCGCCATGATCACAATCTGGGCAGCGGGGGGGGGCAGGGCAAGAAGGTCGCAAGGCGGCGTTGTAGCACATCGCGGCTCGAGCGCTCACGCCAAAGAAGATGGGCGCAAATTCGTCGCCCTTAGCCAGACAGGTGCGATGCCAGATCGGCGCGCTGAACCGAATGAGAAGGCACATTATTTGTTCTGGGTCGGAGCCGGACATCAGCGGCGTCGGGCAGCTCAGTTAATGGTCTTGGGAACACTTCTCTCCAAGCTTACTACGTCCATCCTCACTCAAAATTCCTCTTTAACTTCCTCCTGGATTCCGTACTCACCTGCAACTTCAAATCATCTTCAGTGTACTATATGAACACCGTTTCCTCATCCTCGTCCCCGTCTGGTGTTAAAACAAGTGGCACGCGCGCCGTGGTTCTTGCACAGAAAGGAAGGGGGAGGAGGCGGAGGGGGCGCGCTGGCTGGTGAATGGGGTGATGGAGGGGGCGCTCAGGATGGGGGTGTCGGGGCGGAGGGGGCGCGTTGGCTGGTGGATGGGGGGATGCCGGGGGGGGGGGGCGCGCGCGCTTGGGGTGGGGTGGGGGGGGCGGTGCCGTGCCGAGATGAAGGGGTCAGGGCGAAGGGGGCGGTGGGGGCGTAAAAAGGGGTCGGGGCGGAGGGGCGCGCTGGCTGGTGGGTGGGGGGGTTGCGGAGGGGGCGCGCGCGGGCGCGCGGGAGGGGTTTTGGGGCCGTGCCGAACAAAGGGGTCGCGGGGCGGCGTGGGCGCGCCTGGCTGGTGGGTGGGGGTAATTATGTGTGGGGGGGGTGCCGTGCCGAAATAAAAGGGTCGGGGCGGAGGGGCGCGCTGGCTGGTGGGTGGGGGTGATGCGGGGGGGGGGGGCGTGCCTAAAGAAAAGGGTCGGGGCGGAGGGTCGGGGCGGAGGGGCGTGCTGGCAGGTGGGTGGAAGGATGCGGATGGGGGTGTGCCGTGCCGAAATAAAGGGGATCGGGGCGGAGGGGTGTGTCGTGCCGAAAGAAAGGTCGGGGCGGAGGGGCGCGCTGGCTGCTGGGTGTCATCCAACTCGTCCTCCTCCCGCCCCCAAGACCCTCCTCCTCCTCCTCCTCTCCTCCTCCTCCTCCTCCTCCTCTTCCTCCTCCCCCTCCTCCTCCTCCTCCTCCTCCTCCTCCTCCTCCTCCCCCTCCCCCTCCTCCTCCTCCTCCTCCTCCTCCTCCTCCTCCTCCTCCTCCTCCTCCTCCTCCTCCTCCAACCCTTCGTCCCCACTCCTCTCCTCTCCCACCTCCGCCCGTCCTCCGCCTCGCGTGCATGCGCGACCTCCTCCTGGCCTGGTCTGGTCTGGTCGTGCGCACCCAAATGGGGCGCGTCGTGCCGATGCCCTGGGCAACGGGCAGGCATGTCTCCGTCCCAACCCAGGGCTCTGGCAGTGGGGCAGGCTGCTCCTCCACCTCCCCCTGCTCCTCCTTATCCTCTCCCCCCGCCCCCCCCCCAACACTCCCGTCCCCCTCCTGCTGCGCTCCGCCTCCTCTGCCTGCGCCTGCATCGGCTTCCTCTTCTTCTTCTGTTGCTTCTGCTTCTCCTCCTCCTCCTCCTCCTCCTCCTCCTCCTCCTCCTGCTGCTGCTTCTCCTCCCCCGCCCCCTCGCGTCTCCCGCGGTGCCAGGGCCTGTGCCTCCTGGCCGTGGCGTGCCGACTCGGCCGCGACGTCCCGCAGCCCACAGTCGGCACTCTGGGCAAGGGCCTGCGCCTGGCCCCGGCGAGCAGCGGCGAGGGAGCACCCTGAAACCGGTCAACCTCCTCCGCCTCCTCTTCCTCCTCCTGCAGGTCCCCTTTCTCCCCCTGTTTGCGCTGCTCTAGTCAACTATGGCCTGCTGACCGCAGCGTCTTCCTCCCTCTCCTCCTCCTCCTCCTCCTCCTCCTCCTCCTCCTCCTCCTCCTCCTCCTCCTCCTCCTCCTCCTCCTCCGCCTCCAACTCCTCCTCCTCCTCCTCCTCCTCCTCCTCCTCCTCCTCCTCCTCCTCCTTCTCTTTCTCCTCCTCCTCCTCCTCCTCCTCTCCTCCTCCTCCTCCTCTTCCTCATCCTCATCCTGATCCTCCTCCTCCTCCTCCTCCTCCTCCTCCTCTCCTAATCCTTCTCCTCCTCCTCCTCCTCCTCCTCGTTCCCTCCCTCCCTCCCTCCTTCCCTCTACGCTCCATCCCTCCCTCCTGCTTCCCTTCCTCCCTCCCTCACTGATTCCTTGTTCCTGATCCAGTCTCCTCCTCCTCTTCCTCCTCCTCATCCTCCTCCTTTATTCATCCTCATTCTCACCATCATCGAATTTGCTTTCTTTGTTTGAAATCATCATCCGCATCTCCTAGTGTTTTAGGTCATGCATCATGAGCAGCATCAGTCTGACCAGCATAAT